TAACTGGATCTCGACTATAGTTGTCTAGAATTTTACTCGTGTATATAAAATATATATATATATATATATATATATGTACATATGAAACGTCATTTCAATCTCGGCCTTTGGAACTTTTCTTCAACATTGCACGCAACTGTCCGCAACACTTTTTCTCTCCTTCGACTTATCCCGTAGCGCTTGTTCATTTTAAATCTGTCAACCGAATCATTGAAATTGCATTATAGTACGACTGTAATCCAACACCGATACGATGATATATTCCTTACGATATATATTATACATTGTACGATCGATAATGCACGTTAATAGGTGACATGCTTCAAAAGTCCCGTTTAAATACTGCTAACACGCACGATCAAAAAGAATAAGATATTTCTTTTATATGTATCACAACGATCGCGTTATCTTCGTAATTTGTTAATTGGCTTATATGGTTTTAAATGATGTGATGATGATATCCTATAGAGATAATATACCCAACGTACGATCAGTATATTATTAAATGACTTTAAATAGAATTCGTACACATCGACTAATTTTATTTCGAGCTTTATACATTTCCCATGGGTTTAAGAATAATATTTGCGACGACTACGCTCTGGTACGAGTCGTCACCTTTCTTCAAAGATGACGTAAGAACATCGGTGAAAGCTCTCTGCATGACTTCAATATCACCGCGAAACCGCTCCGTAAAACTCAATCAATATGTACGTATGTATGTATATCCTGCTGTCTCTAGTTCTCCATAGATATAACATTAAATGCTATTTTTAATTGTTTTATTTTACAATTAATACCGTTTTATCAAAATACTTCGTAATCAAATTAAACACGAATATTCAAGTTTTCTTTAATCATTATATATATGACCTCCTTCTCCCACCCCCTCAGAGTGTTTTCCAATAATTATAATTATATTAATCTTTCTTTTTTTTAAACAAACTATGATATATATATATATATATATATATATATATATATATTCGTGTACGTAACACGAACAAAAGTAAATAATATTATTTAAAGAAGAAATTAAATATCGTTAAAATGTTTACATAAAAATAGGAGACAGTCATCGCGAAATAATCTATATCAGCTGATATAAAACGGAATGGGAATTTTTATTTTTGCCAAATTCGTTGGAAAAATACTTTCGAACTTTTTTGATAGAAGATCTAAAAGGTAAACATTGGTCACGTATTGATAATTTTTTTATAACGTTTTACTTTATATAAAGAACAACTATCTAAACCTACATCATAATATTCTATAGAATGTAATATAACATACATATACGTACGATAAGAGAATAAAAACAAAACTAGATGGCAAATCGACGAGAAAAGGGAAAAAAAAAATTACGAAGTTGCACGTACTAGCCAAGAGAATAATAATAAAAAAGAAAAAAAAAACCCTGTAAACAAATAGATATTACGATTAAGACTAATATTTTATAATCTTAATCTCACAAATGTGTTTTATATGAAATCTATAAAATCAAAGGGTTGTTACTCATGACTACGACGCTAAAAATTCTATCTTTTCAAAAATAATATCATTGCACATGTCTATGGCTTTATATTTTACATCTACACATAAGAAACACCGCATCTTATCAGAAATAACGTATATACATAAATTCATGTATATATTCAAGCGAGCTACAAAGAAATTTGATTGTAAAGAAATCGAACCTTTTGTATTGTACAATAATTGTATTTAACGATCATATTTACACTTATTTATTCTTTGATCGATGAATTATTGACGTGTCTTCCATTAAAAATCAAATTATCAAGCGACAATATTTCTTTATTCTTTTACAAACAAAATACATGTCGTGATAAAACGAGAAATATCAGACGGTGAAGGATTTGTAAATAAAAATAAAAACTCACCGAGAGTTGCGTCTTGTCGGGTGCGATCGCAGTGATCTCAATTGATCTAAGTTCGGGCGGATTTGCCCTGTTAAGAATGGCAGCCGGCATTTTTGCGACCAATGAAAGTCTCCTCGTTAAACGTCTTCCCAATTCAGCACGTCGACGCATCCTGACGCGTGATCCGGTCCCTTTGTAACCACCAAATTCCATTCTCGCTTAACTTGGCTTCTCTTTTCTTCTCGTAATCAAAATTGTTACTAGAGGATCACACAAATGTATTCTTTATACGAGATACGCTCTCGTTCGGTTCTCGAAATGCATCCATCTCGAGTAATGAACAAAATACACATTACACCTCACAGCACCGCACTGGTTTCACTTATCATCCTTTATCTTTCTTTTTTTCTATTCGTCGTCCGAAAAATCAGGAGGATGCAGGAGATATATACCGCACGCTGTTAGGTATGAAACGCGAACGCACGGAGAGAATCGAGAGAACGCGCGAGCGCGCGCGCGCGCGCCCGACGTAACACGCGCTTAACCGAGGCCGAGCAGCAAACTCGCGCTCTCCTCGTGCGCAGTCGCAGTGAAAGAGATAGAATAGAAAACGAAAAAAAAAGAAGACTAGCCCAGCCGAGACCCACGTTCGCTCTGCCTGGCGCGCTTCGACTGAAATTCAATCGCGAGCAACCTCCTACCACGTTACTCGCTCTTTCTCACTCTCTCTCTCTCTCTTTCTCTCTCTATCTCTCTCTTTGCCTTCCTTTCTTTCTTCCTACCTTCTTTCGTATCCTTTCTCAAGAATGACTGATCATCCGATAACTGTTTCACTATTTTCAAAGTTTTTTTATGCTGTCATGGACAAATTTTTTTTTGAGAAAACCTACATACTGTGTATGTGTATATGTATATATGTAGATATGTATGTATGTATGTATGTATGTATGTATGTATGTATGTTATGTTATGTTATGTTATGTATATGCATACATATATAAGTTTCAACAATCTCTTTCGATTGTTCGATCAATTGCGACATTTAATCATAATATACATTTTCAAACTAACACGCGGTCAGTTACGTTGCTATACACAAGATGATAATAGTATTGTTTGGGAATAGGAAATATTGAATTATTATTTGTATATATTAAATAATTCTAACAGCACTTTCTAGCTATATATCTGCCCTTTATAGATTGAAAGTAATAGTCGAAAGTTAATAATACTTTATAAACATTACAAATTATGATGATATTTTTTAACTAATCAACTAATTTTTATAGTGTTGGATATACTTTTACTTTCATTAATAATACATTATTCTCATTAATAATGTATCTTTATCCATTTTTATATGTTACATATTTGTATTCAATATATTTTATATATCTTCTTTAATAAATTCCAATATATCTTCTTTAAGCAATTTTCTTTTTTAAGCAATCTGGCATCTAATGTAAAAATTGAATAGAAATTTCTTTTTTTTTTCATTAAAAAACAAATTTTCTTTTCTTTTTATTTTTTTTTTTAACTGAAATTACGAACCTGAATAAAAAGCCATCGATTGATATAGGCATGTACAGTAAGTTCTTTGGTAATAAACCTATAATTACAATTCTTCAGTAGTTGAAATATGTACATACATTGGCAACGGTATAATTATTGCTTTCATTTCTCTTCTTACTTTTGTTAGAAATAATACTTTGATAGTTTTTATTACATTGTTAATTAGTTTTATTAATTATTTAATTAATTTAAAATTAATACTTTGATGATTTTTCTTTAATAGTATCCAAACATTATGGTGGCTCAAATAACTGTAAATTGTCTTAAACATTACTAAATTTGGATCTTCTAAAATGTTCTAATTTTATAGGATAGATTTTAATTGCGCTTACATAACCTGTTAATTTGTCTTTTATATAAAAAACATAAACAAAAAATCTGATTCATATTCTGATTCTCTGTGAAACTTTCTGTGGAACTCTCTATAGGACCTATTGACTAATTTTATTAATAGTTTAGAGACTCTGTGATATTTTATCTTGATTGATAGATGTACTGAAATCCCAAGAAATTTCTCTACCAAAACCATTCATAAATTCGTCAGAAAAAATAAAAAAAGATCCTAATGAAACATAGCCATAATTTAATTAATAAGATCTTAATTTGATATAAATGCAATCCGAGCTGATTTAATAAAATTTAATATTTATTCTAATAACCATAAAATGGAGTTTTTTAAACAATTATTACACATGAAACTCACTTCCTTATGAAGAAAGTCATTGTTATTACATCTTCAATAGATTCTAGTCTTTTTACAATAAACTCATTATTGTACTCTAACCTATATAATCACCAAATATTTATTAATATATATATTGAATATGTGATTAGTAGTAGAAATATAATTTTCGTACAAAAGTGTTTTCCTAAGAATTGCATCTATTCAACTACATAGAGGCATTTTTGCCTGTACCACTATCACATTTCCCAAGATAAAAAATTTCACACTAAGAACTAAGTCTAAACCTAACGCTTTTGATTGCTTTTTTAGTTACTCTGTTTTGGGTAGTACACAGAAAAAGCGTATTTAATTCGTGATCTCATTGTAATTCTTATATATGTATATTAGAACTTATATAAACAATAAACAATATCTCTGGTCAATCTTCTCGCCATATTCTTTTCAGAAACTGAATGGTTCTAAATATCACACATTTCATTATATAAGAATAGCATACCTACGCCATCTAACGTTAATGAAATAAAGAATAATAATTTTTTTTATGAGATTAGAAATAAATGCCCTCTATATTGATATTTAATGTTGTCGGAGTTATCGTTTGTTGATTTATTCTCTACTTTACCATAAGAATAATAATTTATTTTATTATTTAAAACAATTTTTTCTTTTTATCCTTTGTTACTACTAAGTAATGCTATATCTATATTATAACCAAAAAAAACATATAAATGCATTTGTTGAATTTAATATGCGACCTAATATGATACATCATTTTTAGATATACAATTTCTACCTTAACGATCATCGAGATTATTTGATATAACTTCACTTATAAGAGGTCAATGTAACGTTTATAAGTGATTTAAAAAAAAACTATTTTCACAGAGTGTATCGCTATCTACAATTACCTACTCTTAAAAAGTTCTCTTTAGCATCCGTTGTTTGCTCGCGCCATATATAAAAAAAATGGCGATTTAATTTGTTATTATTTACCGTATCAGAATTATTTTTATTATCCGCACCTGTGGATATAAGAAGATCTTAACTCTAATTTGAGGTGTTAATTCTATTTAATTCTATTTAATGTACAATTTTTCAATTGTGCCATGTATACGGTCAGTACTATTGTTCAAGATTCTACAAACCTCTCTGTTTTGCCAAAGCGAGAACAAATTTGCACAGCAATAGATAAAAACACTGGGGAAACTTGTGGCGAAACGGAAAGCTTACAGATTCTTGATGAGTTTCGTAAATTATATGAAGCTCGTATCGAAAAGGTCGATTCAGAATCGGCAAATGAATTCGACCGTGTATCAGTAAGTTAAATATATTATTTTGTATCTGCGTGCACGGTATATTCTTATGACTGATAATAAGCAAACAAATTACAAATTCACACACATTCGTTTTTTCTTAGTATAATATATATTTAAATAGATGAAAAATTTATAATATGTAGATTTTAATGGAATTTCATACATTCAATTTGCAACCATTTTTTTTATTTTTCTAATTATCTATAATATTTGACAAATTATTTAAGTTTATCAGTTGAAATATATTTATAATTGTTACATTTTAATAATATACTATTTATGCACTTGTTAGATTAATTATTTAATAGGATTCAAGCTTTTACTATTTCCTAAAAAAAATTGTTTACATTGTAATTGTATCATTAAAAAATTAAAGAAAGGAAAATAATACAAACGTATATAATTTTAGATGAAAATGAAAATAATGACAGAATGGATTAAGGATTTAGGTGAACAGAATATTATGTTAGTTAATACTGTACAAGACCTGGAACAAACTGCTAGTGACAGAGTTAAAATATTAGAAGAAAAATTAAAACAGTCATCTAAAGTTGTTTCAGATAAAATTTTATTATCGAATCATTCAGAGGAGGTAATTTAATATATATTTAGGTAGTATATTCTTGTATAATATAAAAATATTAATATTATTTTAGAGGTTAAGTGTACTCTCAAATCGTATAAGAGAACTAGAAAATGATGAAAAGAGTTTTCGTCAAAAAATAGAATTTTTGTGGGTTGATATTAAAGGATTATTAGAATTACTTAAGAGAGCTCAAACGGATAATCGCTGGAATCTTGATGGCATAACATTCTATAATATTAATCCAAGTGATATTCCTACTCCTCTGGAGTAAGTATAAGTAAAGAAGGTTCAAATTAATGTGTCTTTTTTTAAATTTTTCTAATATTAGTAAGTACATTATCAGAGAAGTTACTTTCTGTTTATTTATTTTTCTTTCTATAAAACTTTTTCATAATATTTTTTTACATAGTGTTTCTAATTAATTTTTATTAATTGTTAGACATTAATATTATTTATATTAAACTTAGAGAAAGCTATAAAAAGAGAGAAATGTATAGAATATATATATATATATATATATATATATATATATATATATATATATATATATGAAAAAATATATCTTCAATCTCATAATATATGCACTTTTATGGCTTTACAACTTTGATTATCTCTCAGAATATAGGATTCAAACAATATGATGGATAATCAAGTAAATAGATAATAGAATGTAAACAGTAAAAATATTATACATCTATAAGTATACTTTTATCACAGATTAAAATATATACAACATACACAACATACAAAAATATACAAAGCACAACACGAAAACATTATTTTGATTATTAACAGAGATTAACAGATAATCAAATTTTCGTTATATACAAAAATCTTGTGATATGCATGCTTTCATTTTTATTACAACTTTTTCTTTTGCTTATTTTATCTATTTTCATAACTCTATTTTATATTAATTCTAATTTAAAGAAAATATTGAAAACAATTATAACTTTAAATTATAATTACAGAATTCTTATTTCACTAAAATATATTTGAAATATATAATAAAAAATAAAATAAAATATACTATCTAGCTGTTCACTATTATTTGCTTTTTTCTTATTATTTTTATTGTTTGTTACAGTGTATGTGCCCAGGTAAATACAAGTATTAATATAGATGACACTATAAATTCAAAGGTATATTTGAATTAAAACAATTTTTTACAATGACTCTCATTTATCTATCAGTAAAAAATATTTAAACTATTGTATTGTTATAATAAGCATTTTTGTATTTAAAATTAGTATTGATTCATAATTAAAATAGATTATTTTTAATACAAACATTAAAGACACATTTTATTTAGAAATTAAATGTGATATAATAATTATAATAATATTATAATTATAATTATCCTTTTAAATATAATAATTAGTTTATATTAATTTTCATTATAATTTATATATTATTTTAATTAATGTTTTATTTTTGATATTGAAAAGAATGTTTGTTATGTTATTCAAAATAGAAACAAATGCAAATTGAATAAATTTCTTTTTTCAAACAGCAGGTATCAGAAATGGAAGACAAGGAAGCTCATATGTAAGTACATATAATAATAAGGAGTTGAATGAAACGTTTTACAAAATTTAATTGATGGAGAATTTGTCTGTTATAAATTGTGCTATATTTTTATTATTTATAAATAGCTATTATATACATAATATAAACATATTATATACATTAATTATATTTCATAGGTGTCAAATTAAATTTGAAGAAAAAAGTGCTGAACTTCATAAAAACTTAGCAAAGGAAGAAACTGTAAAAACATATGTTTCTGATGTTCAGAGTTTTAGTAATGAACTTGTACAAAAATCTCAGCAAGCAAATCATTTCTGTTTTGGGTCATCACCTCCCACGAATTCTGATAATGTAAGTTTCTGTTTATCTATATGATATAGAACAATCAATTGGAATAATAATTCCGACAACAATAATGGGCATTTTTTTCCATGTATATTATATATAAAATATTATTTCTACATATTTGAAAAAATTTATGTGCATATAAATTAATCTTCTAGTAATAGTTGATTAACAATTTTATAGGCAATCATGCTGAAATAAAAATTAAAAGTAAAAATATATTAAAAGAATTAAATATATTACAATTAAATGATACTATAAAATTTAATATTTTCATTTCCATTGTATTGTTTTATATATCTTTGATATTAAGATAGTTTCGTCATTTCTGTTGCTGTTCAGACAATCTTAGTTGCTGACATAATGGAAAATAAATATATTGATAATGGTCTAGAAGTTAAAAAACTTCAAGAGCATTTACAAGATACTGAATCAGATATAACAAATATAACATATTTGCAACTTCAGTTAAAAAAGAAAGATAAAGTGATTGAGGAAATAAAATGTCAAATGAATTGTTTGAAAAAGGTTTGCTTTATTTACTTTTGTATTTGCTTCTTTCAATTTTATTATTATATCGTTTATATATACTATTATTAGGAATCTATGGAAACATATGAAGCATTAAACATAGAAATTACAAAAAAGCACGATTTAATAATGTTTTTGAGCCAAGAAATCACAAAATTAGAAGAACAATATCGTTATGCTAATATGCAAATTCATTTTAAGGATGATATTATAAAAAAAATGAGAAAGAAACAAATTGAATTAAAGGTATACTTTTAGTCTATATTTTATTCTGGATATTTTATCTGATTAACCTTTGTTTTAGTCTTCACTTCCTGTTCATCTTCATTGCATGTCAAATTATCATCAACAATACAGTGCTAATGGTAATATAAGATTTTCTCATAAGTTATGCAATAAAATTATAACACCATGTCACTTATATAAAGTTGTCAAATATAAAGATCATATATCTTTTCCATATAATAATTTTGATACTTTATTATATCATAAAAAAATAATTGAAAATGTACTTATTATTAACCCACAGTAACAAAATAATACAATAACTAATCTAGACAATTCTTCTAAACAAATATACAAAAGGGAAAGTGATAAAAGCAGAAGACGACGTAACATTGACAAAAGTATTGTGGAATCCATTAGAAATTTATCACCAGCTTGTAAAGATACTATTACATAACACCATCGCAAAAACAATAATTTTTATACTGTCTAAATCATAAGCGTTTCTAACAAGTAACTATGAATATTAATATTGAGCAAATGATAAAATCATAATCTTATTTTATTCATCATAATAAAAAATATGTATTACATATTTAAATTATTAATATTATATATACATATATACATACATATAATATAAAATTTTCAGCATGGTTGCCTTATTCTTGACGATATAATTTTAATTATATATTTCTCTATTTATACAAAATATTTTTTGACCAAAAAGAGAAATCATTTCTATGTATATGATTTCAGAATATTTACTCTTCACTGAAAGATCAAATTGATGCTGATGCTTATCTAATGGTGAGTTAAGGTATGCTGTTTTAAAACTTATTTTTATATTATATATTTCATATAATGATAATATTTTTATAGGATACAGAACCTTTAAGTAATTCAACTAATTCTTATCAGGTATATATTATTCAATGTAATTAAATTTTATAAAATTTACATGTTTATATTATTCATAATATTCTTAACATACACAATACTTTGTTTTTAGAAAATATTTATGTGTTTTTCCAAAACAAACTTATTATTACAAAAAGAGGAAGAAAAGCTTGATGATTTGAAAACAGAGCTACAAAAAATCGTACGACATTTAAAACAGAAAAATGTTGAGGTAAATTAATAAATAATCAAATATATAAGTTTAATACTTCATAAAGTTACTAATTATATCTATTATTAATTCAATATATTACAACTATATATTATTATAATATAATTGAATAAAATTATATTTACAGCCATGTGAACATAATTTTACGACTGCTTATAAGAACATACAAAACATTAAAACGATCCTAAACATTTCTAAAACTTCGACAGATGATAGAGTAAGTCAATTGCATTTAAACTTTCATTATTATATAAAATATGAAGTAACATCTTTTTTAAATATAATGTACAAAGAAAACATTTTGTGTATGTGTGTGCGTGCGTGCGTGCGCACCAATATGTGTATTTATTATTTTACTATTTAAACTATAAATCTTTAATTGAAACTAATCAAGTAAATGAATGTATATTTCTATTTGATTATAAAATGTTATTTTTTTTACATTTATAATTAATAAACATTTTTCAGTATTTGTAATATTGCAGAATGCTAAAAAGAAGAGTTCATGTGTTTTATAAGGAATTCCATGAATTATAAAAGAAAAATTATTTAATATCATATATTCCTAACTATATAATACAAAATAATGCAGTGCTTTTGTAACAATTTACAGTTGAATAAATATAATAAACACAATAATGCATTGATTCTTTTTCAAGGAAAAATGTTTATTGATATTTAATTTAATATATCAATTTCATTGGGAAAGTTAATAACAATTTAGATCATAGAAAGTATATTTTTTGCAGTCACAAACTGAAGAAAATGTACAACCTTTTATACTAAACATTGAAGCTCAATTAAATAGCGTGTACGATGCATTGCAAAATGAAAAGCTTGTACGTATTATGTTTTAATAACTTTGAATGACTAGTTTTAACTAAGTTGTATTTTGTAATGAGTATAATTTTATTTTAACTGATACTTCAATAATGAAACATTTTTGATTTCAGAGGCATGATACAGATAAAAGTATGGATACATGGATACATGATACAACAGAGAAGTTAATAAAGAATATTGAAAATATTTTCAGAATATGTAAAGAAAAAAAAAAAGCGATTGAGTTTATGGAATATACTGTATGTATAACTTTTTATATATATAATACTAATTTTTATGTAGTACATACAATAAATTACATACTAACAAAGAAAATTTATATAATCATTATTTTTTCTTATTTCAGACCGCTAAACGAAATGAGGTACAAACATTAAATATCTATAATATTTTAAATGTATAATAACATAATCAATATATTATGCTTACTTTATCTTTATAGATGCAAAATAGAATGAATAATTATGTTACAGAAATGTCAAAGGATGTTACAGTAAGTATTTTATAATTTTATTTGATACTTTTGGTATTATATGATTTTTCTATTGTTTTTATACATTTATTATTATCCTTTATTAACATTTTATAGTCAAATCCAATTACTGCACAACAATTTAAATTAATGGAGGAATTTCGTGTATGCACTGTTGAGGCTCAAGCAGCAACTGAAGATATTCGTGAAGAAATTAGTACTATTCTTTCTTCATTTGCTGCCCAACATCAAAAAGTATATTCTTATATTACTCATATAAAATTGTTAATATACTTAGTTTAAGTTGTAGATCTGAAAACCATTACAAAATGCATTACAATTTATATGATTTGTGATATTGATAGTACACTGAACTAAACAAAATGGTCAAAGATACTCAAGAACATTTACTACGATTGCGAGAAACAGTAATACAAGCAATTAATACATTAGAATTACAAGTAAGATGAAATCGCATATATCTTTTATTATATTATAAAATCAAATATTCTTTTTGTGATCATACTTTTTAATATATCAGGAAATAGAAAGGACAAGACATATTGAACGAATTACAGCTGAAAAAGTGAAACTAAAAGATATAAAAAATGAATTTATTCGTGCCCAATCTGAATTATTTAATTATGTAAATAATATGCAAGAAAAAATCAAGGTAGGAAGGATACAAAATTTTTAATAATGCAATAAATTTTTTTCTTTTTTATAATTACATTTTGTAAATTATATATTTAGAAATATTCTTTTTTATTTTATACGTTTATTTTAGGATCAAAATCTACCTGAATGTGTAGAAACATACACATGTAATGATTTATTAAACTTTGTAGTTGACAAAATCGAGCTTGTAGTTAACCATGTTCAAGTGCATCAAAATCAGGTAAACATTATTCAAATGTAGGATATAGTCGATAAGTAATATGTAAATAAAAATCGTAGAGAAAATCAAAATGAATTAACCGTTCAAAACTCTATATTTATCATTTATCTATATATATTTTTTTAGGAATGTTTTTTTGCAACCAATTCAGTAGAGTTAAAAGAGCAACTTTGTTGTACAACATGTTCTTTCCAAGATTTGCAGAAACACATGAGTACAATTGTAAGTATAATTATTTTTTATAATTTATTTATTGTAATATTTTTTTTTCAATCAAATTATTTTAGTTAATGCGTAACGAAATGGATGAAACAATTCTTTGTGAAAAAGAAGAAAGATTAGGTAGACTTGAAGCAGAAATTGATAATGCACATACAAAGATGCAAGATACTTTAGAAACTTTCTGGAATACAATAGAACAGGTTTTCCACATATCCTTTTTTGGTATAAGAGTAATAATAATAATAATGAAATATTAAAGTAATGAAATATTACAATATTCTTTTAGGATGATTTTATTGATCATTCAGCAGATTTACAAAGCCAAAATCAGGTATTATATAATTTATACATTATACTATTAGTTATTACTCTTAGATTAACTTTTGAAAGAGAACAGTTTTACTTAGATTTAATATGTATAATGTAAATTCTATCTATAGACAATCAATGAATTATTAAAAGCAAAAGAAGATATACATAAATTAAGAAAGGAATATGATGATTATAAACTTAAAACATTACAGGTATGAAAGTATATGTATTTCTGCTAATTGTTGTGTTCAAAACAGAATAAAAGTAACAATTTACGTATTCAATAAAATCCTTATTTTTTAACTTATAGAAAATATGTCAAACAAAATCTGATGATAAAATAAATCAATGGAAGTGTCGCATAATAGACTTAGAAGAGCAGCTTCGCATCTTACAACATGAGGTTATAAACTTAACATTTTATTAACTTATTATTAATGCTGATTTTTATACTGTGCTATATTAACAGATTTTATCATTGAATCTCTAGAAAGATTTGATTTTTATTTTCTTCATAATAATATACATATTGTTTGTTATATAATCAGACTAAATGTAAACAAGAAGCCAACAACTTTCTAAAAAGTAGTATTGAGTCTATGGAGAAAGAATTATCTTCTGTACAAATGAAAGCAGAAAATTATAGACGTTCCTATTCTGTTGATAGTATAGATTATCAAAAAAAAATTTTAGAATTAGAAAATATAGTAAGTAATAAATTTAGTTTTTTTTCTTCATATAATATATATTATAAAAATACAAATTACATATAAAATAGCAATGTATTAAAAGTTCATTATTTTATATACTTTCAGATCAAAGTACAAAAGGAAGTAGAATCAAAACTTAGAAAAAGTTTAGATAACAATGAAATAGAGCTTCAGAAATCAAGGAAACATTTGGAACCTTTTGTAAGAAGCAGTTATGAACTTTTTTATTTGTTCTTAAGATTTCATGTTGGAATATCTCAGTCACTTTTGATAGTATAAAGAAAATCTGAAAAAAATGAATTTGTTTTAAAGTAGCCAATATGATAATAGAGAAAACTTTTCCTTGAGGATCATATTTTTTATAATATAGAGTTCACCGACATTTCTTCAAAACTGATGAAATTACATAGGACTTAATTTATCCTCAATACAATTTATCCTCATACAAAATTAATAAAATTAATCAAACAAATACTTCATATTAAAATATGCAATATTCCAACATCTCATTTTAAATAACTCACCAACATATAAATAATATATATATATATATGCGAATAATGAATACATATTATTTTTTATTTAATGAAAAAGCATATAGAATGTACTCCAGAAGAATTATCTATATGTTGTGGATATCAATTGAAACAAGAGGTAATAACCTTTAACAATTATTAATTTATAATACATCATTTAATAACAATTAATTTATAATGTAAATATTGACCTGTAAAATTGAAACCTTTTAATTCATATAGAATACATCCCAGCTTGTTAATATATTACAAGAAGCAGTACAATCTACAAAAAGTGGACTTCAAAATGTCGAATGCGAACTTAAACTGTTGGTATGTTTAAATCAAATGGATGTTTCCATTACTTTATATTATTAATACAAAACATTTAATATTATTACTATATTCATAAGAATAATAACAAATATCTAAAAAAAAATAATCTGTAGATGTGTGAAGGATCTTCTCAGTCTTGTACTTCAACAACTTTGGTAATGACAATTATTGATAAATTAAGAAAATATGAAGGACAATTAGAAAAATGTTATGGAGACATTGAAAATCTTAGAAATACATTATGTTCTAAAGATAAACTTGTAAGTATTAAATTGATATAATGAAGATTATTTTTATTAAAAAAAAGAAAATATAAAATATCCTAGTAATATATTATAATCGATCATTATAAATAGCAATATATTTCAAATTATACTGTAGATATATATGAATATACAAGTGCATACTTTTTTGTTTCAGTTAGAAAATATGAACCAAGTAGTTATGATCCAAAATGATTCTATAGCAGTCACGCAAAATGAGCTGAAGAGTCTCTATAAAAAACAGCAAGAAAAGGTAAGTTTTATGTAGAAATTACATTTTTATAAGCATGAGAAGACTGATAAATGTTATAAGCATTATATGCTTTTGTTATTTTATAAGTTATACTTAAGATTAAAAATTTTAATTCTATTCAAATAAAACTAATTTAAAAAAATCAATTCATGAAACAATTAAATTAAAGTTGATGTACATACATAAATATTTAAATACACTAATAGTAGATTACATGTACACTGCACATTCCAAATTTTTTATTATTTTTAAATTTTAACAAAGTATCACTGTCAATAAGAACTAAGAGTTGTGAACTTTTACACTCGCGATATTACATCTTATTTTTAAAATGTGATTGTAAATAATTAACGAAGTACGAAGCAATATATTTTTATTTCCAAATGTTATTAATGAAGGTAGGTGAAACATACATATTTTTATACTTCATTATGTAGTACCAATTTTATTGTTTTTTTTTTCCAGATAAACATGCAGGATTGTATTATAGCTCAATGTGAGAAGGAAAAAAAAGAGTTATCCAAACAGGTTTGTATCTTCTCAATTTTATTAATATATAGATTATTATATGGATTACTGAAATATATGAAAGTAATAATATGTTTATAAAATTAATATTGCATGCTTGTCTCTTCCTTTTTGTACAGAATGAACTTCAAGCACAAACAATTGGACATTTGCAAAATGCTGTGGTTGAAGCCAAAAGATGCTTAGATAGTATGGGACATAAAGCAGTAAGTGATGCAAGCGAACTGTGGAGTTCGATTTCGTCTTCAACATTCGGTCACGGGAATGTGCATGACGTTTAAATTGCTTTTATAAACATATTGAACTGATTGGACAGTATGCTAAAACATATAATTATGTATGTACTAATGTTAACTATCATTGTAAATATTTTTCAAATATTATAATTAAAACGATAATTTACACATGAGAAATATCCAAACGATTTTATTTTTTTGACATGATCATTTTTTGAATTTTTCAATGCTATACTTAATGTGCAAGTATAAAACTCCTATTAGCTCTTTTCGAAAATACCAATGGCAATTAATTGTGAGTGCATAAGTGTGATACGTGACAAAAAGTTTAAGCCAGTGTGGTATGATATTCGCAATGCATGTGGTATGTATTATTCTATTTAGAATAAAATAAAATTAACAATGCGTTTCAAAATAATATTACGATCTGCATAGAAATTATGTATTTATAAAATCTTATCCAACTATTATACCCACCTTATTGCTTCTAATATGTATAAATTCTTAAATACTTATCAAATAAGTACATGACAATTAACTAAACTATATTATAAACTATACTGATTATTGAATTATTCTGCTTTTATTACACTGAAATATACTTACTGTATTTATAATTTTATAATCGTTACTACTTTAAAAACCATAGATAAAAAATTAATCGGAAGTTAATTTTCTTGTAGCTTTTTGTTAAAGGTGAAACTATTCAATTGTTAACAATGTTTATTGACGAAACTCAGAATCAATATAGCGACTGTTTTACAGAAGTAAGTATAATATTTAAATTTAATCTTTATGTATGTATTTAAAATATTTTTGAGAATAATAGTTTTATGAATTTATTTGAATATTATTTTTTAAATTAAGGCTGCTGCACAAGAAAAATTGTTGGAATTGCAACGAGATGCCATAGACACTTTGCAATCGAAAATTGAGTACATGATTAATGATAAATATTTAGTAGTTACTTCCTTACATACTACATATTGTTCCATATTAAGCATAATACAGGTATAACAAAAATAAGATTCATGTTGATATAATATAATATATGTATATTTATGGTTTTAATAAATTGTAAAATTATTAATGCTTAAAGATACGTTATATGTTTAAAATTTATTATTACAAAAATTATTAATGCAAATGAGACAAACTTAATAGTATTAAAATACATATAAATGGATTCTTATGATTATTCTTACTAATAAACTAATTATGGAAAACATATTAATTTTATTTAATTATTTTAGGATCAACTGAAGCTTTGTACAAATGATTTTCAAGCATTAATATACAAGGTAACTTTTGTTATATTTACACTTCATTAAAATTTCATATCAACTTATTTTATGTTGGATTCGAAATTAAAATTGTTTTTACTTTACAGATAAATACTTTAATGCAAACAAATATTCTTTTGGGAAATAAGTACATTACTACAAAAAAATTATGGAAAGAAACAAATCAAGAATTGCAAGAATTAAAGTATTACAGAATTTGTGTAGTTTACTTTTTTATGATACTTTTAACTTAAAATAATAAACTATATTATGATATGATCTTACAGAAATATGTCATCCAAGGACAAAAAACAAACAAAAATGTATGAAACTAAATCTTGTCAATGTAAAATAGACATTGAGCATAAGAGTTGTATGACACAGAATCTTACATTAGAACAAACTTCAGAAGATTCTTCAATATTAGATAAGCAAGAACATATACAAGATCCACTTCAAAATTATGAATCACAAGCTCAGACTGAAATTATAATTAGAGAAAATCAAAATTTAAAGAAACAACTACAAAAATACATATCAGATTTAGTTATACTTAAAAATGAATTGAAAATAAAAGATCAAGAAATAAAAGATCTTGAATGCTGTTTAAAATATGAAAATCAAAATCTAAAGATAAGTTTAGAGAAACAAACGAAAGAATTTGAAGACTTAATAATAGAATTAAATATTGCTAAACAAAAAGAGATTAATTTAAAAAAATATGTAATTGATTTGGAAGAAAAACAAGAGGAGGTAATAATAATGTTAATTTATAAAACATTATATAAAAAAAGAAAGAATGTCCTTGATAATTACAACTAACTTTTTATATATATATACACATACATACACACACACAACGCACGCTCGCGTCACTTTCATTATTTATTAAATATATTATAGTATATAGTATACAAGTATATATTAAATATTAATACTTTTAATTGCATTATTTTTAGATACAAAATCTAAAACAGCAAATTGATTGTAACAAATCTGTAATAAGAGAACAAGCTCAAACCATAGACCATTTACAAGGAAAATTATGTACATCTGAACAACAAATTAGACAATACATATCTGAATCTACAAATTTTAAAGAAAGATTTTTATCGATAAAAGTATTACTCAAAGAGAAATCAGATAGTATGGCAAAATTACAAGCAGATTATGAAGTATTAAAAGTATGTTATAAATTTATAAATGTACTTTATTGTAATATATTTAGAATACATAACAATATAATAATTATATGATAATTATATGATAATAATATAATAATTACATAATAATATATATTTACAGAATGAAAATACAATTCTAAAAACAGAAAACATTGCATTAGAAACTAAAACAAAAGAAGATCATTATTTACTACGAAAGAAGGTATCAGTACCCATAAATTGCACATTCATTTCTACTGTTCTAGAAATATCCAAGAAAATAACGTTTTTTATTCTAATAAAATCATAATATACCATTTTTATTGCAGTTAAAAGAAACTCAAACAGAATTATCTTTTATAAAAGACAGTTATTACAAAACAGCTGAAGATTATGATAAAACTCAAGAAAACTTGATCCAATCTGTAAGACGAGAAGCGGAATTACAAGAATCATTAACAATTGCAGTAATATATCATAACATTATATGTAATTCTTTTTCATTTTCATAAAAAAATATTTTATCATTCATAAATATACTTTTCCTAGGAGAAAGAATATTGCTCAAAGCTTGCAAATTTTGAATCAAAAATTGTTAGATTGGAAAATTTAATATGTGAACTTGATGAAGAATCAAAGGATACTAAGAAAAAATTATCTTCAAAAAACACTGAGCTTTGTCAAACACAAAATATGTGTAAATCATTTTCCAATCAATTGAAAACTGCACAGCAAGATGTAAGTCAATATTAAATTAAATATCAATAATATGTTTCTAATAATATTATTATTTGATATCAAATATCAGCTGTATGAACTTCAAGAAAAATATCTAAAAATGGACAATTCCAACTGTTACTTAACCCAACAATTACAAGAATGTATAGATGAAAACTGTACTCTTTTGCAACAGAAAACTTCACTTGAACAAGACAACTACAAGTTCGCGAATCAAGTGAGATATGTCTACTGTCTGTTGTAAATATTAACATCTATTTTGATCAATATAAATTTTGAAAGTGTAACTGTTTGTAGTTACATAACATGCACCAATCTTTGATGGAATTGAAAAAAGAATGTCAATCAAAAGATAAGTCTTTGGCATGTGTATCAGCAGAATTAACTGAAACAGTAGTAAACAGGTCAGAACTTTGCAATGAATCCCAATATATGGTCTCATGTATTCGTACATTGATGGCAGAACAAAGAAAGCTTGTTGAAACTCTTGTTTTAAAGTTACAAATTAAACAACAGCAATTAACAATATTTAAACAACAATTTGGACATGAAAAAAAGTAATTATTTATTATAAAAGATTCAAAAATATTTATATTTTAAAGTCAATTTTATTAAAATGAAAATATTTAATTTAAATTTTATTTAATTTGAAATTTTAATTTGTAGAACTTTATTAGTCAAAATCAGAGAACTAAGAAGAGTGAACAATATATTAGCACAAAGATTAAAAAGAGTACATAGAACAACAATTGGAAAAAATACTAAAAGTGCTGGATATTCATATTTGACACAAAACTTAGGTGTATGTATCATTAAATATCATTAAAACTTATTATACATTACATTACATATAAAGATATAAATCAAACTGGATGCATTCATAGAAGTATCTCTTATATTTGTAATAAACTTTAATATTAAGATATAAACTATAAAATCTTAATATTTTTGTAATATAAAATTTTATATAGGAAAAAATTTAACTTTCCCTTATATGTTTAGAAATCCTCGATATACCCGATTAAATCTGTACGTCGCACTTCAGTGTGCGGCAATTCTTGGTGGTTTCCTAAGATGGAATATATAACAAATCAATTGAGAAAAAATAATCAATGGTGGCACACAAACATAGCTAATAAATCAAAGAATAATAGTGGAGTAGATGAAAATCGAGATTGTGGTTATCAATCATCTGCAAGCAAATGACAATGTATAATAAAATCTGTCATAGCATAGTCGAATCAAATCGATGTATGATAGAATAATAAGATAGAATAATAATCAATATTGTTTACCACTGAAATTTGTAAAGAATTTATGCATTAATGTTATGATTAATATACCCTGTTTTTTTATATATCTTCGTAATTGTATATTTTTAATAATAACTTGTATTAATCATATAAAAAGAATTACTTTATTTTTCTTAATTATCAGTGCATTTATAAATAGTACAAAGATAATAAGTCATGCTGCTAAATAAGTGGTTACATCATTTAGACTCATTTTAAGATTGTGACATGGTAAGCAAGCAAGTCGAAGTAATGCAAGATTTTCCATATACACTGTGTGAAAGACTTCAAATAATAATTTGCATTCGTCTAAATTAAATATCTCATCGGACTTCGGTGGATTCTAAATATAAATGATAAATATAGAAATACATTAAGATAAAATAATTTACGTTTGGTTCTTTCATAAAACCAATTCATAATAACACCGTTTAATAATATACATACTAATATATTTTACTCTAATACACACTCATATGAGTAAAAATGACTAACCAAAATGGTATGTAAAAGTAAAGTATCGCAAAAAAAGTTATATGTATCTTCCATTGTGTACCATATATTGGAAAGAAAATAGCGATGCGTTAAATAGAATAATCCTATTGATGCAAAAATGCATTTTATACTGAATAAATTATCTCTGAAATATAAGCAAGCACAAAAATAATGTTAGTTGAATTTATAAATACATAAATATAATTATTATAAAAGTATTTATGTATTTATTTACCTAGTAATTTCAAAAATTTCCCACGCAATTTTTGGAAAAATATCGTTTCTTTCTTCGAAAATATATTTGGAAAATTTAAATTCTGTAATATGACGAAAATGTAATATAAGAATTTTAAAACTTATATAAAAAAAATTGTATTAAAACATTATTTATAACACGTTTACTTACTGAAAAACGATAAAATTACATCTTTATCTCGTTGATGTTCTTTTACGAAAGCTATATCTTTAAATGAAATTAATTCCCAAACGCATAATTTAGGAACTAATAAATCATAATAATCATGTATTGGATTATATGTACAAAACCAAGGGCCACACAGATCATCGTAATTTATATTAGAATCAATTATTGTTTCAGATTTAATCTTCCGATACGATATAACATTTTTATAATTAATAGATACAAATGGTTCGGATAAAAATATTCGTCCGACATTCTTTATATGTTCTGCTTTATTAGACTCAGCAGTATTTTTAAATTGATATCTCTTATCTTTTAACATTTTTTGGTATATATGTATATATTGCTATTATTTTATGCAGATTTGTTTAAAAATATAATTATACAAGATCTGAAAATTGCAAAAGATTATACTGAAATTATTAATTGCAACAGACAATGGTAACTAGAGCGACGAATAATCGATTATTTTTTAGTTTATTGGCTATGTGGATACAATCTTTCTCTAACTGCATAAAAAAATAAGTGACAGTATATTATTATAATATTCACAAGTTTATTTTCTTTTTTTGTATAATCATTCATAATTTATCATGATTTATCAATAAAATTAATATACAATATGTTTTAGAGCAAGAACTGTTATACACATTACAATCTAAGAAAGTAAATACATAGTAATTATAGCAGCAGGAATGGCCTGTACTATATCTTACAAGATGCTTGCGTGCCAAAAGTTCATCAAATGTTGTATATGTTAAATGTATTATTATTATTATTATTATTATTATTATTATTATTATTATTATTATTATTATTATTTTATTATTATTATTATTATTATTATTATTATTATTATTATTATTATTATTATTCATTACCATTAATATTACTTATTACACAAATCATATTTATTTATATGATTTATATTATAATGTATTTATATATATATATTTATATATATATATATATATATATATATATATATATATATATATACATATATATATATACATATATATATATACATATATATATACATATATATATATATATATATATATATATATATACATATATATATTTTAACGAACACCGCTCAGTACTACTATAATAACAAATGGGAGTTTTACCACTTTTTAATAGATTTGATACTCAAAATAGATGATATATCGTCAAATACATTGAGACACACGTTTTAGTCAATCACTCGAGCAAGTGTTCGTGTTGCACATTTCACCGCCCATTCCTTATAGTGGTTTCCCTTCGTGTATATTCCCTTCAAACTCATTGCAGACACACTCATGATGTACTTATCTGTGTTGAATATAGTACATATCTGTAATCAAAAATAAATAATGTGCTTTTTGCGCAACAATTTATTAAATGATTTATATTAAACTTAAATTTTAATAAAGAAACAAAAGATTGTACGGTAAAATGCACTTAATCGGACTCTATTAGCTCTATTATAAATTTTTGCTTTACAAATTCTTGCGAGTGAATTTTTTATTTATAATACATTAATTGTACATATATATATTAAATGTATTTTGTAATTTTCAATAAATAGTTTTAATAAAATGTGATATTAATAAAGTGAGATTCTAAATTAGCCAATTTTTATAAATGTAATGATATTGTTTAATTGATATAAATGTATTTTATTCGAGAAAATTACCTGAAATATATAATTATATTTTGTATACACAAACTACTCATAACTTACCTAAATTAACAAAAAATTTCTGAAAACAGATTATTCTAAAGCTTTTATGAAATCAAGGACACTTAATAAGTTTGTAACAATACACATATTGTAACAATACAATACAATATTGTGACATATATGGAATGTAAAAATGCGACGCGTTCATTGAATAAATATTATTATTTACCAACAGTTTTGAATTGGAAATACATCTATATATTACGAAATATAGAGAAATATTCATTCGTAAGTGGCACAAAAAGTGATACACCAGAAAAAATTAATTTTACAGCCTGCATTGTTCATGTCATATTGCTAATGTTGAGAGTACCTATTAACAAAAACTGTAAACTAAATTACCAAAAAATAATTTATATAACATAAAATAGTTTGATAAGGCAAAAGAAATACACCTCAAGATTGCACATTCAGTATGTATATATAAAATGGTGTTTGGTCTTAAGTATAACATTTTTTGTCTTCATTCATATAATATTTGTAGTGAAAATCAACAATTTGAATCAACGTAACTAACTTTTAAACTTCTTCTATGTACTTTGTTTTCTTTTATTAAATTAAAATAAACTCTATATAACATAGTACATCAATTTTGGCGAAAGATTGACGCTTTCACATTATGCATAGCGAATGTCGCCACACGGCAGATTTGTAAAAGTTAGTTCACAATGACGTATTGTTATAAATAGAATACGAAGACGACTGCACTGAAGAAGAATAAAAGGCACTATCAGAAAGATATAAAAATGTAGAATAGTATTGAAGTTTAAATCACAGAACTATGAACATATATATCTTATTATAATAGAATTAGGAAAATAATAATTGTCCAACCAATATTGAATTTGGTTGCACGATTAAAAAAAAACAGAAACTATAAAAAGCTTTTCTATCAATAAATTTATCTAGGAAAGAAACATTTAATTAACTATTGGAATGATTGTCATTTAAAAACAATAGTATAATATGAATATTACATAAAATATTCTATGAAATTTTATCAATCATAATACTTAAAATATAGATAAACGTAAATTTTTAATATCCTTTTATATAACTTTCATCATCTTATGTAGATATTATACAGACATACCATTTAGATTATATAATTATTTCATCAAACAATACAATATCCTTTAAGCATATACTGTTCTATGTTAAATGCAAATATATTATTCAAAGATTTCTTATCTTTTGTACAATGTAATATACAACCTAAGGTTGATTTTTTGCTGAATAAACAAAAATGAAGATTTAGGAATATATACTTTAGAAATAAGAATAATAATAAAATATATTTTACGTATATTGAACTATTAGATATTCCTAGTGAAAATAACATTAAATTCAGGCTAACTTTTAGTAAACTGTTTCTCCTTTATAAAAATTTATAGATATATCATGTAATAGTAATTTCAGTTTTGAAAAATGTTCAATTACTGAATATTGCATAATTACTCTACTTTGTTGTAGAAATAGTTTAAAAATAGCCAATTATAATAGTCATATAGATATCGATATTAAATATAACACGTACAGGTTTGGATAATCACTTGCAGCAATTGCCGGTTGCTGCTTTTTGCCCTTCTGATTCAACGAGCCGACGGCCTTGCCCACTTGTACTTGCACTTCCTGACTGCTCATTTTTCGGAAGCTTTTTAGCTGCAAAATACAAAGTAACAATAACTTTATCCTTTTTTGTCTTGCATATTAAAACATAAAACATAAAATATAAAGCAAACTATTTTATACATTTGAATTTAATTTCGTGTACAAAACAAAAAAAATGCATTTTTCACTAAAAATATATTATACTTACCAATTGCTAAAAATATATCATTAACATTCATTGCTGTTTTGGCTGATGTTTCCATAAATAAAAGACCATTTTCATCAGCATATGCTTGAGCTTCATCATATTCAACGACTCTTTTGTTTGTGAGATCTGCTTTATTGCCTGCTAATGCTATAACTATACTTGGACTGGCTTGCCGTTGCAATTCTTTTACCCACGTTTGTGCACGCACAAATGTGTCCTATTTTTATTAAAGAAAAAACAAAAACAAATATATCATACAAAATATTATGGTGTAATATTAATATTTATTTTATAATATTATTTGACAATATGTTTATAGAATTTCATTAGATCAATTACATAAATTACTTTACAAAATGATGAATATTTCACTATACAAGTTATAATATGTCAATAATAATTAATAAATATTGTTCATATACAAGAACATTTAATGCACAGCATATTTACACACCTGATTTGTAATATCATACACAACAATTGCTGCCTGAGCACCTCGATAATACATTGGTGCAAGACTGTGATAACGTTCTTGACCTGCTGTGTCCCATATCTCAAACTTTACAGTCGTGTCATCCAAACATACAGTTTGCGTTAAAAATGCAGCTGCAAATTAAATTATTAATGAAGCAAATAAGAGATTATAATTTAAGTATTGATATTACAAAAAACAAACATATTTTTGAAATTCAAATATTTTCTTTTGTCTAACACAACATCAGAAAAATGCTGTATCTCCATTGCGTTCGCTTTTCAATTAACCATATGATTATAATAACATGCAGACACATGTAAAATGTGATTCTTGCAACTTGTTGATTATGTTTCTATCTATATTATCTATCTATCTATATTATATTCCATAAGAAATATGTAACTTGTATTGAAAACATTTATTCAGTATATGACAAAATAAAAAATAACCAAATATATTAACCGAACAATCTTCTATGTACAAGATATCTAATAGATTTGAAATTTATTTCAAAGATTCTCCTTACCTCCTATCGTGCTTTCCTGATATTCATGGAACTGTCCTTTAACAAACCTAAGAACCAAACTTGATTTTCCAACTGCAGATTCTCCTAGTAACACGAGTTTGAACTGACATATTTTTCCCTGTGTTGAACCATTTGGCCTTTGAGCAGTACCTCGATTAGCCATGATCTCCTAAAAAATGAGAAAGTAGGAATGAAAACAAAATACTTAGATTTATATTAACATATACATACAAACAATATTTAATGTGTATATTCTTAAAATACATTCTTTTTTGTATTTTAATACATAGGTTTATCATTAAGATTATGCATAAGCAAATTATTAATTCAAAATTAAACAGTACTTCACAGCAAAATATTGCAAAAGTAAATCTTATATATCTAACGATTATTCGCATTAATTTTTGTAATATTTTATTTTAATATTGAAATTTTTATATCAGTCTTATAATAAAAATATTGAGATGTATTTTTAAATAAACAGAAGATCCTATAAACTTTTATCCGTACCCAAAAGTATAGAAAAAAAGAAATTTAATATTAGTTTTAAATAATACCTCATATTTAATAAGATTTACTCAATGAAAAGTACATAGCTACTCACTGTCATTCTAAAACACTGTTTTGAGAGATAAATGTCTATTTATACTAGATCTTTACTTGTTGAAGATAAGGCACTCATTTACGTGCATAGTACTTTGGTCTGTACAAAAGTTCTATAGATTCACATTAAGTTTAAAAAAGTATCTGTATAAAAAAGTTTAACGTAAAAGCAGATTATTAAAATTAAAATAACAAAAAAAAATATGAATAATTATATGAAAGGAATATATATATATATATCTAACTATACAAACGAAAATGTAATTATAATATATTATAATTAAAATCTTAATTTGTATGCTTTTATGATTTAACATTCCAAAAAAAAAAAAAGAAGAAAACCTTAATGCATAAAAACTCAACAATACATATCACTCATTCCTTACATTTATATATGCAAACATACTCGTACTTTCTCAAATACTAAATAAACGCAATCAGATCTAATCTATGACATCCGAGAAAATATCATTAACACGAACATGCAGATATGACTTCTAAATTATTTCTTCGTACCTAAAATTCAAGAGAGATGCTAGGAATGCACTTATAATAATAATCACTTACGTTAATGAAAAAAACAAAGGAGAAAAAATTATATACTAAAAAAATACACCACGATCTTTAGCCCATTAAGGCAGAGCCATTGATAATTGCATTACTCAATTAGTCTGCTGCTTCTGACAGATTCGCCTCCCTTCTCTCTGATAATATTACAATTGATAAACTGCAACTGATAAAACCGAAAACTGGAGAAAATGAAAAAGCAACGAAAAAAGAAATCAAACTAATCAAACGCTGTATTACATTACAAAAAAAAAAGTTCCAAGATATCGTTCTACCGACCTAACCAACTCCACTATATAACCTGATATAAGAGTATCACGATGCGGCAAAATAAAAAAAAAAAAAAAAACCATCTCTAAACGCGTAATCTCATGCAATAATTATCTACATAATTGGCACCTCGTAACCTTGGACAATAGTATCGGCGGACAAATTAATATTTTCATCGAAAAATCACGAAAAACCGTTAAAGCGATGCATTGCAAATATCATGAGAAAAAGAGATGAAAGCATGAAACATGTATACGTCACACCTAAAGCGTGTGAGCAGCAGAGAAAGACCGAGATAGAGAGAAATGAAAAGATACCGCCAAACGCGAACCAGTAATAAGTAGTGTAACGAATAAGAGAGAAAGACAAGCAGATAGACAGAGATAGGGAAACGAAACATGTTAGGAAGGGAAAGGGAGAGGAATAAAAAGAGACTACATAGAAAAATGGGGATAGAAACAGAAAGGAAAAAAATAATAATAAATAAAAGAGAATAAAATGATGCGCAGGTAATTGTTACAGCCCTGAGTACTTGTCACCACCCGTTAAAGCGTCATCAATATACAAAATATTCAATCAGTTAATACAGCTTGTAAAATGACGATCATGAAAGATAAAAAAACCCGTGATTCTTTATATGCCAAACAGGATTTGCATGTCACAAGTGATAATTTTTTCGCTTCTCGTTCTCTCTCTTTCTCTTTCTCTCTCTCTCTCTTTCTCTTTCTCTCGCTTTCACACAAACTCTTTCTCTCTCTCTCTCCCCCCCTCATGCTTCCTTCGTGACATTAAGTATAAAAGCAATCGTGACAGCTCACAAACTGAGTCTCTTCAAGATTTACGCACAATTAATAGTGCACTTTTTATATTCTTCCAACAATACTCAACAGAGTATAAATGTTTTTTTTTTTATTCTCTTGCCCTTTTCTCTTTTCTCGTATTTATAAATTCATACGAAAACGTAACGTTTTTAGCACTCGAACGTGTTCGCGTCAAGTAATACGGCTGACACAGCCACCTGCAGTTGTACGCCAGAACAGGGAGAAATCGAATTTTCGAGAATTTAACCTACTGTAAGTGTTCAAAAAAGATTGCTTATGTGTTGAACAGGAACGTGTAACACTGACTCTTTTAGAGGGAGGACAATGGACGCACGATACACGGCACGATGATGATTAATAATGTCAATTCACAGGCCGCGCGTATACACGATCACTTTGGTCTCTAGTAAATCGGCCCAATAACCGACCATAGATCGTGCAATCTATATAGAATGTATACATTTATGACAGCTCAGTGGATTCACATAACACGACTTTGCGAATTGAAACAGCTTCTTTTGTTCCTCTCTCACTCACTCACTCACTCACTCACTCTCTCTCTCTCTCTCTCTCTCTCTCTCTCTCTCTCTCTCTCTCTCTCTCTCACTCTCTCTCTCTCTCACTCTCTCTCTTCTTACTTCCCTTTTTACTTTCTCATATTTAGGTATGCTAAAAGAGAAAAATTCCACTTCGCGAGTAATCGAAAGGACGAATGATAACGCGTTATTTACGTCTTTGTCTACACTTATGGACAAAATCCCTCCATCTCTCTCACTCACACGCGCGTGCTGTCTCTTTTTCTCTCTTTCTTGCCCTATCTCTATATTTCTATATATCTCTCACTTTCTTTCACTCTCACACTCTCTCACACTCTCTCTCTCTCTCTTTCTCTCTTTTTCTCTCTCTCTCTCTCTCTCTCTCTCTCTCTCTCTCATTAAAATTATACACAATGAGGAAATTCTCAAAAAATAAAATTTTTAAGCTTGACACTTTCCAAAAAGTCCTGCGTACTTTTAGAACACGCACGATACACACGCTACTCGGCCGCCACTATGTCTCGAGAGCGATACAAACGGAACACAACGCAAACCTTTTCCACAGATCAACGGCTTGAACCGATCAATTACCAATTATTTCGTGACAAGCGTGAGGAAATGTGACCAATTTCAGTTCTTAAGGATCCTTTTGAGATGAGGTTTCCCCAATACCGTTTCCTTTTTTTCTGCAATATGAAATTGCATGCATTGTGCGTTTTGATGGGACCCGGTGATAGGACAACAAAAACCACCAAACCAATAATGTTTGAGGAATTCTTGCCAGTGTCATTTTCTCGCGATGTTATTGGTACGGATGTACCGCAATAAAGTGGTACTGCGTCACTCTATGTGGTAATAAATATCCTTATGAAAAAGACATGAAGAAAATTAATACGAAAGTATTATATACTTTTGGTGATACACACAATTTTATAAAGAAATAGTAAAAAAATATATAACTGTTTTTAATTGTTAAATATATAATATGTATATATATGTATTAAAATTATGCGGACTGTTGTTCGTACTATATTATTTATAAAAGAATAACTTTCTATAATTTTCTCTAGATTATGTCATAGTTACAAAAAACTTAAGGTATCGGAAATATCGTCGCATCTTGGTATGTCAAATTTTGTTCGCGGTAAATATAAAAGATATATTATTTCTATAAAATATAGATGTTTAAATAAATAAATATTAATTTTTCATACGACGTACATTTTTCAATAAAAAAATCCGCCAAACTATATAAATTTTTTTTGACAATAAAACAAATTTAAGTAAAAATACTTGGAGAGGAAAGTATTAGCGATAAAAAAAAAATAAAAAAGATATATTAAGATGGCGGAATTAGTATTTCCGTCTTACAAAAGCACAAAGGTATTGAATATATACTATCTTAGTTTTTTTTTTTTTTACTTTAAGGCGAAGAAAATAGTTATTATCAGTGGTGCTGCTGAGTAGATACTGCCTTGTTCATTATCATTCGTAACGGCCATTGCCGTTCTTCCAATCGTGCTCTTGTAATCTTTAGGTTATGAAGAGCGCATGATACGCTGAATAAAACGTACACATGCGTAATCCACGATCGTAAAAGCATTGAAACGGTGACACGCGATAGTTATCGATAATCACGTTCTGTAAGAGAATCCTTAATCCACGTAGTATTGAAGTTGCTTTTACATATTGCGCAGCGAGTTTCTTATCACTAATAGCAGCGAATCGTTAAAGACATCGCCTTTGTTTTCTTGATAAAACGATTCAACGAAAAAAAAACAATGTCAGCATCTCCAATCGCAAGACAGGCTACCCAAAGTCAAAGTATACCCTCGAAAAGGATTGTTATCGACGATCCTAAGCAATTACCAGCAGACTACTCTTCCACTCCAGGGGGTACCCTTTATTCGACAACTCCAGGAGGTAAAGTCGTATTCTTAATTTTTATTTTGCTATCCCTTTGTGCCTATCATTTTATTTGTTTATTTTATCAATCGATCGATCGATTATCACATTCATAGTAACAATAAGAATGCGCCATCCGCTTTTTCGAAATATAGATAAAATTAAATTTCTGTTTATTTAGTAATGATTTGAAATTTTAAACATGTTTGGACACATTCAGTGAATAAAAGGAAACAAGCAAATATTTAAAGTATTATTGAATCAATTTAAAATTTTAATTTGATCCTTGGATAAATTAAAAATAATATTTTCGTTAAATTCCATCATCCTGGAATTATTAAAAAAAAAAAGAAAAAATGAATTATTCATATATCTATAAAAATCAGAAACTTCGAATTTTAAATGTTAAAAGCGAATCGAACGAACGGAACAAATCTCTGTTATAGACAATTCGATCGTAAATTTGTTTAATATCGAAACAAGATAAAAATGAACTTTCGAAAACGTTCGTCTCTTAGTTCGTACACGTGTTATTTCCGATAAAATCATCTCTTGTTCGTGATATTGGAATACGTATCATATCGACCTTTCTTACCTCGATTCCATAATTACATTATTTCTTGTCAACTTGCCAAAATGCTAAAAGTAAAATTTATATTCCTTTATGTAACTTTTAGTAAATTAATCAAAAGTACGAATACGATAAATGAGGATAATAAAGATTTACACTGCAATTTCGAGTGAGATACTGCAAATAGAAGATCATAACGATTGACTATTGATTTGTCAAAATCGAATTTTTTTATTATTGATTAAAGAATGAATAATGAATAATGAATAATGAATAATGAATAATTAAGAAAATGACGACACGTATGTGCATGTTAAAGTAATCGGATAAATAGTGTGATATAAATTTTTCATCAAACGATTAATATTGCGATTAATATTGTTTTCAAAATTTTAAAGACCGACGATCGCTTGTAGAAACAATTTCAGGAAATGCTAAATAATTGATAAAAGACAAATAACGTCCTTTTTTAATTAATTTGAGATGAAATAAAATTTTCTTTTCTTTAGGAAATTGTAACTTATTTTAATTATTATTTTCAGTAAAAAAAGTGAATATTAGTTTACTATATATTAGTTCGATAATAGTTTATTTTAAGAAAATTTGTTTGTTGATAAGATGGAATTAGTCAATATTGAATCTTTTTCAAACTTAATTACAATAATATCAACAAGAAAGGTATAAATGAGCCACGTTATAAAGTTGCGTATCATTTATCGATTATGTAACTTCATCTTCAGTTTTTATATATATATATATATATATATATATATATATATATATACTTTGTTTATAGTTTGTTAATATTTTTGCAATTGCCAATATTTCTATATCCATTTTATATCGTTTTAATAAAAAATATATAAATATTAGATAAAATTATATTTTTCGAAACAGTATAATAATTAATAAATTCTGAAAAAAAAAACAATTGCTTTTATTTTCAATGGATTCAAGAAAGGAATATCTAGATAAAGAAATTATATCCATTTTTTTTTTTTTTTTTTTTTTTTTTGACTAATTATCGTTACTTATTTCAAATTATTTATATTCATATGAACGATAAATCATGTCGGACAGTATCTCACTGTAATAAGCGCGCGTGTGTAAATATACATATGTACGTATAAGTCAAGGACACAAGAATTGCTTCGATGTCTTCTTCTTAACGCGCACATGTTTTGTTGTATGCTCGCTGGCATAAAAAATAATTATGTAGCAACTGAAATTTTATAATTTATGCATTGTGAAAATAAACTTAGTTTATAAATGTCATAATTTTAATATCACACGTATTATTTAATTTTTCTTCCTTTTATTTATACAGAATTTATTAACATGTATATAATAAAAAATTTCGTTTAAAATGAGATTTTTTGTTTATTCAATAACAAGTATATAAGCATGTAACAGTACTTCTTATCATATGTGCATTTGTAAATATTCATAACTTCAGCTTTAATTTATTGTAATTATTGTTCTTATGTATATTTTTATGATAGTAATCTAAATTATAGGAGTAATAAAAAAAAATATTTTGCTATTTTAATCAGTTTTATATTTTAAAGGCAAACGTTTTTATTGTTTTACAATTTTTTGAAGAAAGCGATTAGTTGACTATTCCATATGTTGCAATATTGTTTTAATAGGATTGCTTAGATAATTTCTTTAATCCTTCTATTTCTTTTATTCTTATCACCATGGAAATGTACTTGTATAAGTAGATGCATTGTAGTCCAATTGAGAAATTAATACAAATTTTTTTCGTTTTTAACAATATTTAAAGAAATATTTGCTATATAAAATAGACAATAAAAAAAAGACAATATTAAAATTTATGATTACTATTATTAAGATCATAATAATAATGATAATATTATTGTACAGGTACTCGTATCGTTTATGAACGTGCTTTTTTGATGAATTTACGAGACTCGCCAATATCACGTACTCCACCACGAAGTATACCATCCATACCTGTGGATCTTTTGAAGGTTACACCAGCTATTGTGACACCTGCCAAGATATCCGCTGCTAAAGGTCATTTCACATCTAAGAAAACAATTTTTAAATATATTCATATGTAAAATATCAATATTTAAATGCATTAACACCATAATAATATTAATATTTCAGACACATTAATGATTGAAGAATCTCCAGAACAATTTGAGATGGATATGTAAAATGGAAGAACTTGCAATCAGATTTTGTGGTTCTAAATGTGTTCATCTTCTAGCCATCTACGGCTGTGCTTATATAATATACCTACTGGTATTAAAATTGTGTGATTGATTCTTTGGGTATATCATTAATAATTGTATTGTAAACGTTTATTGTAGACCATTGGTCTTAATAGGTGATAATGTTTATTAATGAACTAATGAATATGAAAAATGTTGAATATATTGAATCAATGACATATTTTTTAATATATGTATAAAGTGTAAAGTTACAAAAAGAAATTTTAATTGCAACTGATAATAGTAGCGACAATAATGCTTTATTTCAAAATTCTATATATATATATATATATATATATATATATATATATATCATTTTGTATCTTGATTCTTAAGAACATTAATGAATAAATGATATTTTTCATAAATCTTATCAGTATCACATTAATTATAAAATTTACTGATTTTTCAGGATTTCAGGTATTTTATTTAAACATACATACATCACATTATAAAAATATTATAAATTTTAATATCTTATATGAAAAATAAATTCTATCCGTTTTAAAAATAAATGCATTTTTATTTGTTATTTTTATTTGGTGGATAACAGAATTTTATATAATATTATGTATAATTAGTTTTAATCAGTATGATTTGTGTACTCTGAATCTTTTAATATTGACATCCTCTCAAGAATAACTTTTGCAATATTTACTTTAGTCCCATCAGAATTGTAATCTTCATAATAAATCAATTCACATAAGTCTCTGCAATCTAGATCATTATATATCAATTCTTTTAATTTTAAATAAAATGCTTCTATTATCTGTCTAGAGTACTTCTTATATATTTTAGATTCTGGATGGAAATGTTTTTGCACTTCAAAAAACGTTAGTAAAGGTGTTGCACCTTCAACTGCAAGATATACTGGTTCAATAGAATTCGTGTTTCCACCAGGATAAATTTTATATATGTTATTATGATAAGATCGATTCTTGATTCCAGCTCTGTTTCTTACTTCTTGTTCTAATTCTTGTACATTTTCCATCCACTCATATGAAAGTTGTTTCAAATCTGGAGGTATATACGTTGAAAATGGTATTAGAATAAACAATTTTTTTATTGAAATAATAATATTATGAATGTCTTCAAAATTTTCTAATTTTTCATGTATGCCTTTATTCTCTGTACCAGTGGATGGTAAAATAATTCTCAAATAACCATAGTAATAATTATAAGCCATTCCAGTTCCATAATCCAGTCCATTCATATTAATAACATTTGTATCTAAATTTTGTTGTGATAAGACTGGTATTTTAAACAGAATAATTACAAAACAATATAAACATATAAATGTTATATTGTTGTATCTCCAAATATAAAAAAATCCTTTGTTAATTGTTTGTAAAGTAATAAAAATGATACATATCCCAATAGCAATTTTATATTTAAATGGTATTTCCAACAATTGTGTTCTATTCAATTTCAAATTTGTATTTAACAGATTACACAATTGTATTGTCAAATCACACAATATATACATTATGATAAGTATTGATACAATGTAAGATATGTTGCATATCGTTGAAGTGATATTATCTTCATACTTTATCATAACAGCTATTACAATAAATATAATTTCTAAAATATAATACAAGATTATATTTAAACTCACGTAAACAGAATCAGATTCATTCCTCATAGATAGATGATCCATCTTCTAAATATACAATATAATAAAAATTAGGTTAAAATATGATTTATTAAAATATTTAAAAATTATTGATGCGACGATTATGTTTAAAATTAAACTATTGGATAATACATTGAGAATGAAGTAATGTTAGATTATTAAATCTTATTGCAAACTTAGAAAAGACGATATCGCACAAACTAACGAACACTATGAAAATAAAAATCTCTATAAAACTCTATACCTATCTATAGATATGATAGTATCATGAGATAAAGCTTTGCTTTTAATTAAACGTTTTATAATTTTTTAAGATAGACACGTTTAAAGCCTTTTGTTTTATAATACAACGATTACCTAGAAATGGTGACTTTATTGTATTATCACGTACGATCCCGTATATACATACATACAAGAAAACAGCTGATACGATTCACTAGCCGCGTGCAACTGTCTAATGAGGAATAGTGGGTGACGAGAGAAAGGGAGAGGAGAAATTAGTTAGAAGTGGGATAGAAGGGAGACAACGAGAGGTACCTGCTGCAGGAGTGAGAAGTTGCGAAAGGAAGAAGGAAGAGAAAAGGGAACAACTATACAGACATTTAGTTGCCAGGAGAGAGCGCCGTTGGTGTAAGTGGAAAGTGCCGATGGAATCGTGGTACGGTCGGGAGACATCTACGATCGATAAAGGCTTCAACACGGAACCGTTTGCGAAAGAAATCGTAATTGAAAATTCGTCTCTCGTGCACTAACTTCGCGCGCATTTAGATAATATTGACACGTGCCGATATCGTCCGATCGATCGTTTTATCTTTTAAACGTTTTTGTTAGAAGCGATTAATATCGGATACGGATTTTAAAACGCCATGTACCATAATGACCAATCAGCTGCTTGGTAAACCATCGTGAGACCTCGAATCTGTCCACAGACGAATGACAACAAAAGAGACTGATAGAAGTCGCGCGCGCGAGAGAAAGAGAGAGAGAAAGACAGAGTGCGTTTTTTCACGACTTCCCGGAGGATTTCTGGTTTTTTCCGTTCTGTTACACGCCGCGAATAACGTCGCCTTGGTAGTGGTGAAAGTGTCGAAGAATATGAAGAGAAGAAATGTCGAGTGCGGTAAGCTTCGGAGGCCCTTGAAACGTAACAAGCTCACCGAGGGGATTTACGGAAGGTAAATTTTCGCCGCCATATGCGTCTACATTGGAATGGCCGTTCTTAAAAATAACCAAAAATCTGATCATCATATCTGTGAGAGAACGTATGCAAACTTCTCATCCTAAAACTACTACTAAATATTTTATCGGTGAAATGCGTTTATCCATCAACCCTGCTGGACGGTGATTCTGGATTTGCGCTCGCTTTGGGAACTCTCTGTGTTACATGGCTTATCTATTTAACAAAACTTCAACCATGTGTTCTTGTTTTTCCAGTATAAAACGATTTTAAAGTGTAGTGCTACTTCTTAGGTATTACTGTACGACATATTTTTTGAAATCATATATACATAAAATATAGAAGCTTTACGCGACAAGCTCAATCAATGTTTTTAATGCAAGAAATTTCTGTGAAAGACTAGTTGTTATTTGTCATTTCATATATTGGTATAGTTTTATCATATTATGTAATTCGTTTATTACTACATGACATAAGAACAAGATCTACATGATATGAATCTGTTGTATTTGTTTATGTTATATACCGTATTATTTTTCTCTTTATTACTAGGATTATCTACTATTTAGTCAAATATCTATAATATAATATAATGTTTATAATATAATTTGTAGTGCACATATACACAAGTTTATAAAGAGTTCATAAAAATTTATTTTTTCATGTAAACGTATCATTTTCCTTTGTTGTACGTGTAAACAAATCTTATTCGTTAAAATATAATATGTCCATTTATACTACAAAATATTCATACAATATTATGCAATTATTAAGTATATAATATGTACTATAGATTATAAATTATTTGAGATCAAAAATATAAAGATAATAAATAATAATTTTAGATAACTATAGACATTTAAGATCGAACAATATCTATTCATTGTAGAAGGATAAATTATTAATAGATTTTTATTTAAAAGATGCATTCTATAAAATAATCATTCAAAATATATAGTCACTAACCATTGTTTATATTACCCATGAAATGTGTAATATAAACCAAACATAATGTGTTTGGTTTAAATGCATACATGTGATTATTTTTTTAACTATCAAAAATGTAATAAAATTTTTATACCAAAATTATTTCATTTAAAAGTAAAAATATGACCATATTCTTAGATGTTTTTATAGAGTCATTGTTTTAATATCATTTTGATTCGTTCAAATGGAACAGTGTATTTATATTATTTTATCATAGTAATATGAGATTTTTAGATAAATTCAACAAGGAGTGAAATATGTATTTTTTATAATTTATTTTCTTTTTTTCTTTTTTCAAAATATTACAAGGAAGATAAAGCATGTATAAGAAATGTATATAAATTTCAATAAAGGAATTTTAGTTTTGAGAACTATAATAATATATATATATATATATATATATATATTGTGAATGAAAGGAATTTTTCTATATATATTTATTTATTTATTTATTTCTATATATATTCTTTTTTATATATATTGTAAATAAAGGAATCTTATGATTCTATCAAGATGTGTGGATTTTGTAAATATACCATACTTTTTAAATATTTTATAAAGAAATTTTAATATACTATCAAACAAACCTAATATAAATATATTGTTCCACATTAAAAAATAAAAATGATATTAAAATCTTTACGAATAATGACTTTATAAAATATTCAAATACATCATTATATTTTCTTTTTTAAATCAAAAAACTTTAATATACAAAATATTGTTGTATCTTTGATTACCAAAAAATTATGCATATGTAAATGTTTAGTGACATGTTATATACTAATATATGTATAATATTAGTATGATATTATAGCTCTATGTTCATAATATATGATTTTTATTTCAGTACTTTGCTTTATCTGAAGTTCCTTCTACTATGGGCCATGGTGATTTTAGCAGATTTCATTCTAGAATTCCGCTTTGAATTTTTATGGCCTTTTTGGCTTCTCCTCCGAAGTGTTTACGATTCTTTTAAATACCAAGGCTTGGTAAGTAATCATTTAATAATATATAATAATTATATTATTATTATTATTATTATTATTATTATTATTATTATTATTATTATTATTATTATCATTATTATTATTATTATTATATAAAGTTGAAGATGTCTTTATCTAATACTTTAGAAATTAATAAATTCTTATTGATAAATGAGATTTCTATAATAACAGATATTATTATAACATAAGTAATTATGATATTATGCATAATGTATATTAAAATGTACATATTTATATAGTAGGATAGAAAAAACATGAAATATATATTATCTAAATTATATTTTATTTTTACTTTCAGGCCTTTTCTGTGTTTTTTATTTGTATTGCACTTACATCAGATATGATTTGCTTCTTTTTCATCCCTGTGCATTGGCTGTTTTTTGCTGCCAGCACTTATGTTTGGGTGCAGTATGTTTGGCACACAGGTATGTATAATATATATATCACAAAAATTATGTATATCAAGAAAACTATTGTTAATATCATGAAAAACTAATATAGAAAAATTTACTTAATAGATAAAGGAGTGTGTTTACCAACTGTGATGCTGTGGCTATTATTTCTGTATATAGAAGCAGCAGTTCGGTTAAGAGATTTGCGGCATATGCCATTTCATTTGGATCTCTGTCGGCCATTTGCAGCACATTGGTAAGTCTTTCTTCTTATTTATTATATACAATATCCAAATAAAATTGTTTAATAATTTAGAAGTTTTATAAATTGTTACAATGGTAATTGGAAATAATAATCAATGAAATATATTATTTTATGTTATGAATTTTTATCTTTTTTCAGCATTGGCTATCCTGTAGTTACATTAGGTTTCGGTTTTAAGAGTTATGTTGGTTATAGAATGAGACAGGTTAGTTGGATATACAATCGTTTTGTTTAAATCAATGAGATAAAATATCTTCATCAAGATATTATATTTAATCTATAATTGTCAGTTATTCTTCACTTGCTTTTTATTAGAGAAAACAAAAAGATGTTGCAAAGGAAAATGAGTTCTACCTGCAGTTGTTACAGCAGGCTCTTCCTGTAGAACAGCAGACAACAAGTTTGCAGCAAATTCAGTCACAAGCACAGCATGTTAATGCATCATTAGAGCAACATACAAGAGCACAATCGCAAAGATTAAATTCACAATATAATCCAAGTCCTGAAAAAAGCAAAGGTAATTTGTATTTACTTTCAAAAATATTATGTTATTTATAAAGGTATATTTAATGTGATAATATATTTATTTACATGTAAATAATTGTGTATTTTATGTTTTCAGGAAACAATACTTGTGTTGAAGCAAATGTACAAAATGGTGGATTGCAAAATGGTACACAGTTTATGTTACAGACACAAAGTACCACTATGAAAAGTAATCATAGAAAATCTTTAGACAAAGGTGAAAAACAAGAAGACCAACACAATAAACATACCATAACAAATGTATCACAGTCTGATAAAAGTGATAAAAGATTTATACATACAAATGGGTCTACAGTATCACACAATGATGTGCAGTTTATTGAAAGAGTCGGGTAAGAAATTTGTTATAAATGCATACATTTGTATTGTAAACAGATTTAAATGTCTGCTTAGAAACAAACCAAAAAAGGAATGTTTTATAATGCAGATCAGTGAATGATTTTGATGTAAATGAAATTGACAAAGACAAGTCAGTTAAAGGTGGAGCTTGTGGTCACACAAATGTAAGATCACAGTCTAATGGATCAGTAACAGGAAAATGGAATAATGTAAAAGAAAATAGAGATGCATCTTCGACTGTTAATGTTCAACGTGAACGTAATACTCGTAAAATTAAAAGTGCCACTGATACTACAACTGACCAACAGAAGCAACAGGATGAATATTGTCAAAGGTATCATTTATTTCTTTTATTTAAATCTTACTTTATATTTATCACTAATTTTATTTGTTAGTACATTAAATTCGATTTTTCATTATTATTAAATAACTATAATAATATAAAGATATATATATATATATATATATATATATATATATATATATATATATATTTCAAATAATATCTTTTTTATTTCTTGTTCCTATAATATTTATGTTATAATCATGAAAAGGTTTCGATGTTTCTATAATAAATGAAATATATAATATACATGTTTCTGTGCGCTTTATTGTCATTATTTTGCTAGATTATACTGCCTGTTTCTTAGGCATAATTTAATGTCGTTCAAATAGGTTACTGGTGTGTCGCAGGCTCGAGGCAGATATTAAACGCTTGAAGTCAGATTTACAATCAAGTCGACAAGTGGAACAAGAGTTACGATCACAA